GCCTTGAGAGATTTCTCCAACAGTACAGCCTCAATTCAACCTCCCCCCCAAGTCTTCCCACTCTCTGTTGCCCCCTCCCCCTCCAAGGTTTATGGCAAACGGACGCCGAATGCAGGAAAGTACTGGGGTGATTTGACAGTTCTGACAGGTGACGTCATTGTAATGGTAGGTGAGAATGGCCTTGGCAGACAGGAGGAAGGCCTGAAGATGAGGCAATGGTAAGACCAGAGGCAGCTGAATCTGCAGAAAAAATAAGGGCCTGGCAAGTGTCCCACACTAGGGACCCCCCACCAGTTGCTTGGGCTGCAAAGGAGAAGAAGGCGAGGCGCCCTTTCAGACCTCCAAGACCCCGCTAATGTAACCTCACAACAAGTAGCAGAAACCAACGGTGGATTTCTTGCCTTCCCTAGTTAACATTTTTGGTTACCTGAATCGTTTTGACAGCTCAATTACGTTTTGTTGTTTTTAAGAATATTGCCGATGCCTCCTGAATCCCACAGCTCAGTTCTCCATAGATATAACGATCATTATGTATAAACGATTATGAATGCGTCGGGTTTACAAATGAGCCAGTGCATTTATTTCTGCCCATTTCCAATTAAGCTAAAATGTTAATTTTGCAGCTCTTGTGTTATTATTTTTTTTCTTTGCCAAGGCTTTGCGTCACAGGAGCTGTGGTAGCGCAGTTGTTAGAATGCAGTATTGCAGGCTGGCTCTGCCCGCTGCCAAGAGTTCGATCCTGACTGGCTCATGATTGACGTCCGAGGTGGGTAGAATAAAGACGCAGATTTACAGTGCATAAAGCAGTATAAATAGTGCTATAAAGCATTATGAAGTGGTATATAAGTCTAAGTGCTATTGCTATTTAAAGCAGTGGTTCTCAACCTGTGGGTCAGGACCCCATTTGGGGTCGATCGACCATTTCACAGGGGTCGCCAAGCAAGGCTGTCCGCCATTTTTTTGTCCGCCATTTTTTTGTCCGCCATTTTTTTCCCTTTTCCGGCGGGTGCCTTACCTCCCTTAGGCTGGGCCAGCTGGTGGTCGGCCTGCTCCGTCTCTGCCGCTTGCCAGCTACGCCTCAGCTGGCACAGGGGGCGGAACCACGCATGTGCAGCGCTCCCGGGCAGGGAAAGTCCTCGACTTACGACCGGTTGGGTAGTCCTCGACCTACGACCGGTTTAGTCCTCGACTTACGACCGGTTTAGTCCTCGACGTACGACCGGTTGGGGTCACGGCATTAAAAAGGTTGAGAACCACTGATTTAAAGACTTTCTGGCCTATCAATACGTTTGCTTTTGATCATATACCATAGCTCAGGGTTTCCCAACCTTGGCAACTTTAAGATGTGTGGACTTCAGCTCCCAGAATTCCACAACCCGCACGGGTGGCTGGGGAATTCTGGGAGTTGAAGTCCACTGCAGAAACACTGCCGTAGCTATCAATTCAAGGAATGCATGCATCTTAGGAGGGAAAAATACCTGGCAAAATGAAACTGGCTGCCCATTTCTTGGACGTGTGATGATTGAAGAGTTCCACGGAGCCTTTGTGTTCACCGAAGAAGACTTTAAATCTGTTAGAAAGCACCTGATCCCCGTATACCGGGACTGGCTTCAGCTGATGCCCTTGAGTCTTCCAGAAGAAGGAAAAAGTCACACCTAATAGAACCAAAAGACACAGAAGAAGGATTGTCAGTTGCATCTTTTAGACTTGGAGAAAAATCTATATCGTACAACGGGAGAGAAATACATTTAGGTAGTCGGTGACTTACAACTACTACTGAGCTCAAAATTTCTCTTGCTAAGTGAGGAATTTGTTAAGTGAGCGTTGCCCCTGCAGTTGTTAACTTAGTAGTACAGTTGTTCAGTGACTTTGCTTATCACAAGGGATTCCATGATCCTGGGACACGGCCACCGTCGTAAATATGAGTTGGTTGCCAAGCATTGGAATTTTGACCGTGTGACCACGGGGATGCCACAATAGTCATCAATGTGAAAAATGGTCATAAGTCATTTTTCCCCCCAGTGTCGTATCTTTGAATGGTCTATTGCAAGACGGGGACTGCCTGTACTTTGAAGAGTTTTGGTTTGCCGCTGATTCACGAGTGCAAATTTAGACACATTCCTATAAAATAGGAAGGAAAACACTCCTCTCATCACTGTGTTGTTATGACAGGTGTGCTTATCGTTATATGAATTCTCTAGAATGACGGTTAGCACTCAGGATTGTTATCACCGTCCCTCATATTTCTGGATATCAAGACCATTAGTGATGATGGTGCGGTGGTTAGAATGCAGTATTGCAGGCTAACTCTGCCAACTGCCAGCAGTTCGTTTCTCAATGGCTCAAGGTCGACCCAGCCTTCCGTCCTTCCGAGGTCGGTAAAATGAGGACCCAGATTGTTGGGGGGCAATAGGCTGACTCTGTAAACCGCTTAGAGAGGGCTGTAAAGCACCGTGAAGCGGTCTATAAGTCTAAGTGTTAAGTGCTATTATAGGTTTTCAATTGGTGAGAAATTCATTCCCTTGTCACCTCTGGAAGAACACCATGGATTAACAAGGCTGTTTTAACTTTAAAAGTAAATTTACAAGATGTTAAGCCAGATCTTGATAGAAACAAGTGGATGCAGATCCTTAGAGATATTCCATGCTCAAAGCCAGCCCTGTTCTTATCCAGCAAAGTTTATCACTTGGCCCATAAACAAGATAAGATGGTCCTAAGGGGAAATGCCTTCATGATACATTAAGACAGATCCAAGGGAAAAATATTACAATCCACGGAGGAAACTGCTCAACCAAACCATTAGCTGCAAACTCTGGATGGACTCTATCTAGGGAATTCCCAATCCTGGGCCCATTATTTTAAGCCTGTGGTTAGTTACAGCCGTAAACAAATATGCATAATTTATCCAGCAGGCTGCTTTGCCATTTTCCTAAGCAAATAATTTGGAAGTAAACCCGTTACGAACCATTTGCATAACCGCTAATGCCTGGAAGAGATTTTACGATTCCCTTAAAATGCAGCTCGGTGAAACGTCCTTCTCCCCCTCCCCTCCCCTCCCCAATTGTGTTGCCAGAATAAAATGAATGAAATAAAATAGGAACGTATATCAAAACCACGGCAATGGGGAAGAATCTCCTACTCACCTTCGGGCTCACAGAATTCTTGGTTAATAATGCAGGAGTTTTGATAATTTCCGAAAAGGAGGAAGGTGGCTCCCTTGACGCTTGGGATATAGATACCTTTGTTTACAATGCCTTCTATGATATCTAAGGGAGGAAAAGGGAGGAAAAAAATATGACAATGTTCCGGTTGGCCCTACAACTCGGAAGCATGGTCAGAACAGTTTTTTTTATTATTCTTTTTAACCCCACTAAACACCAGGAATCCTCTCAAAGGTGCTTTTTTCAAGAGGCAATTGGACTGTTTTTTTTTTCTGGAGGAGGAGAAAGAAGAGGAAGAGGAAGGAGGAGGAGGAGGAGGAGGAGGAGGAGGAGGAGGAGGAGGAGGAGGAGGAGGAGGAGGAGGAGGAGAAGAAGAAGAAGAAGAAGAAGAAGAAGAAGAAGAAGAAGAAGAAGAAGAAGAAGAAGAAGAAGAAGAAGAAGAAGAAGAAGAAGAAGAAGAAGAAGAAGAAGAAGAAGAAGAAGAAGAAGAAGATTTTGCTTTTCACCAAGAAGCTCCATCCATTGTTTGTTTGTTTATCAGTTGTTCAACAATGGATGAAGCTTCTTCAATTTAGAATAGAGCTGGAAGGGACTTTGGAGGCCTTCTGATCCAACTCCTATTCAAGCAGGAGACCTTATACCATTCAAGTGGCTATCCAAACTCCTCCTCCTCCTCCTCCTCCTCCTCCTCCTCCTC